TGAAAATTACTGACCCCGAGGTGTTCTCATGTTATGTAGAACCAGATTGGGTGATGGTTTTTTATTTTTTTTACGATTAGAAAGGGCCCGGTCGCACAAGCCGGTTAGATCATCGCCACTGCAAGGCCATATAATCGCCACCATTGAGTAACTTACATGTACCATGGGGAGAGCAAGGAGAGATGAGTGACACCGGTATGACACCGATATCCAAAGCAATGCCATAGACACTATAACATAGACAATAGACATGCCATATACAAATGCATGCCATAGACACTAGACACTACTTATACTCCATATCGATGGCAATGCGTAGCTATCGCGAGAGAGTAGAGACAGTGCTTAAAAATTCTAATTTAGGCATTTGAAATTTTGAAACGATATTCACTTCTATATCACCACGTTTCGTTCACACAATTGTAGTTTATTTGTATCAAAATATATTGATTCAATTTTAATTAAGTTGTTTTAATCAATTTAGTTAGGCATGCCGGATAGCTATAAGTGCACAGCTACGTAAAGGTAGACATACGACATGAGGCGAGCAATCGGACTAAATAGAAAGCAAAGAAACGAAAGCCAGAGCAATGTTATGCTTATTATCTTCAGCGAGAGGCTTCATGTACGCTTTTCATTAACCCTCACCCGCACATGCCATTTTCCCATCCTAGAACGCACATGGGGGTGGGGGGGTTGCCACCCCCGCGTCATTTCGTTCCTGCTGGAGGTAGAGCTTCGCAGCAAAAACCAACATATTCTTTGGGAAGAAAGAAATCCAATGGTACCCAATTTTACCTCATTAGGTCAATCATGGACCTTCCAGGTCAGGTCAAACTAAAAAATGTTGCTGTTTGGGGCCACCGTTGGAATACCTATCACGTGCCCATCATATACCGATGACGCTGCCGTTTGTGGTGCCAAGCCAGCTAGAACAGCTAGTTTTGATGTGGCCCGAGTTTTGATATGGCCACGAGGAGAGAAGTGGTTTGTAAATTGTATGAGTTCAATACTGCCCGGCCGGTATTAAAACTGCCCGGCCCGTTGAAAACCTCGCCTCGCCGCTGACCGGCGAGGCGGCCCACATTAATGCTGACCATTCATGTATTCATGTTACGGCCTCGGCCCGTTTGAAAACTCGGCCCGTAGTAATGCTGACCGGGGGGCCGGTCCGTATTGATACCGCACATACCGCATATTGATATTGACCGTATTGATGCGGGCCGGTCCTCCGGACAGTATTAATACCTACGGACAATGTCAATTACGAAAATTGGAATAGTGATACCAAACCAAATGCCAACAAAAACCATGGCAAAATACCGAAACCAAACCAACTTCAGAATATGAGCTGGAAATAGGTACCATCTTTTTACCAAAGTCTCAGCCTCTTATACCTTAGTCAGGGTTCGTAATACCAACAAAATACCGAAAGCATTATATTGAAAAACCAAATGTGCCTACCCAAATAATATTTGCTGATTGTTCGTGGGACAAGAAAGAATTACCCACATCAGTGCGCATTGCATTAGTTTTTATTAGGGTAAGTGGCTCCTATCACGCACACGTCCTAAACACGCACACCAATGACTCTTTTTAATATAGCTGCCCAAGCAGAAGTGTAGAAAGCATAAATCGACCGAAAACGATTTCTGGCAACATTTGTGCCGCGGCGGGCAGTTGTTTCAGCGCTCTCGCATCAAAAGTTAAGTAATGTTAGCATGTTTTGTAAAGGAAGTGCTGATTTCTAACGCTGAAAAAGTGCCTGATATAATAATGCGTGTATCGGTGTGCATTAATTTTTCATGGAACCATAAATATACCGGATAGATTATCAGGCATCAATTTGTGGCCAATAAGTCAGTGTTTTCTTTGATCATACGTGTATTACCTGGAATGCGTCGAGAAAGACAGGAAAGGGCTGAATGTGAAGCGTGCGTGTTTAGGGCAGCTGGTTCTCCAATGACGCACAGGTGCCATGCGGCATAAATGCACATACATCAGATGGATTTTTTAACGTTTCTTTTTAGAGGGAACGGTTTAAATCGCATTACTGTGATACGTTAACATCTGACAGAGTTCTGGAAGATTGATGGTCCCCTGCGTTTTGACAAAAAGCCAAGGGATTTAAAACCAGGCCCGGGGGCTCGGACGGTGACTCCAGGGCGGTGTTTCACGGCCGCTAGCAGCGCGCTGCCTGCACACGTGTCAAATTTGGTTTCCACGGAGACCAACAAACTCGTATATCCAAAACAGCTGCAAACTGTGACATCAGCCCGCGAAATGCGCTGGCAGTGTGCTGCTATCGGCCGTGAAACACCGCCCTGGCCCGGGGCTCGACCACCGAGATCGGGCCCGGGGACTCGGCTGGAGAGCCCAGGGTCTCGCGTGGTGAGATCGGGCCTGGAGCCTCAGGTGTGAGACCGGGGCCGGGGTCTCGGACTGTCGGGCGGTAAGACCGGGTCCGGGGTCTCAGGCGGTGGGACTAGGCCCAGGGTCTCGAGCGGTAGGACCGGACCCAGGGTCTGGGCCGGAGAGGCCGAGTCTGGGGCACTTTCAAATAAAGCGATTTGTCCATACTTATTTCGATGATTTTGATCCCCATCCTGTCATCTCTTCCTGTGCGCATTGGAAGCATGTGCATGTGCGTAATAACAGCACTGATGCTCTATAAGCGCACACCGGGAGTTGGTCGACGTTTGGCCTTATATATCATAAATGATAGAAAACCGCTGAAAAGCAAATGCCGGGCTAAACAAAGAAATGTTTAGGACAACTACTGGTACCAACCTTGTCAACATGATAGGCGTCAGTAGGCCACACGAGTAGTTTTCCTGTTAGGTGTGCGTGATAGGGGCCACTTACCCTAAGGTACGAGGTTTAGAACAACCATTGAAGTTTCCTTACGTGCTACCTATTAGCTGTTTTCAATGTCGGTAAGACAGTGGCACGTGGAGCATTTAGCTGATACGCCTTTAAGTAGAACACTACCTTATTCTGAAAAAATAAATTTCGCACTTCGCTATAGGTAGACAAAGGCATAGAATACTATAGAGTCTGGGTAAGGTTGCTCATTAGCGACCCTTTCCTATAGGTATTTGTGACCCACCTCTCTTACAGAAAAACTGGTAAGGGAAATCGTGGAGAAAACAATGTCAAAAGGACTGCCATACATTGCTTAGCAATCTCAATTCTTTTCCGGTTGTCGGTGCCTTTGTTGAGACGTTTTAGGTGAGTTTAAATAAATGCAAAGGGCCATTTCCTTATCCGCAAACCGTGTGTTTGTGCACCATAAAGCGATGCACGTTAAGATGATGCACCTTTTTATTCTGAATCAACAAGCATTTTTTCAATTGATTGCAGTGCAGCCCTCCCGTAGTGAATCGCTTGACTGTGCACTGCTTCGTGGTTAAAAATGAATCGCGGACCATGTTTCCTATTTACGCCCGACATGGTCGCTGAATATAGCTCAGGAAGGGAGATGAATGGGAAAAGAGAGAAGGGAAAATGAGGGGTTGCTGAAGCTTGCGATGTGTGGCAGGTGATACCAATTGTCATGGCAGACTGCAGGGGTGCCGAATCCAGCGTGGGCCTCGAATACAATATCAGTATGGGATAACCTCAAAAATGGGATTTCGCCTTATTTTCGCCTTTGGTGCATTACGTGATCAGCCTCCAAAAACATAAACGTGTTGGCTAAATGCTCCTGTTCAAGTGATTTGTGTATATGCTATAGGTATTTAAGCATCTTATTTCATGTTTTCGAGCGTAACATTTTTCGTCAATTTTACTATTGGGAAAACCCATAGGTAGACCTATTTAGCGACTCTCCCCAGTCGCTAATCGGGACGAGTTCCCTGTAAGCGTTTTTGCAGTGGTTTGCCAAAATGCTCACTACAAATTTGTGGATATTGAGACAGAAAATGAATAGATTGTGATAGGGAAATAAACAATCTCTCCGAAAACCAATCCAGTTCCAGTAATACAGTGGCACCCACAAAGCGCGAGCAGCGACGGTTCAAATTAAGGGGTCGCTAATTAGGTAATAGGTATCTTACCCTATATCTGGACTGTTCACTGATTTCGCCGACTGTCATTAGGATCGTGCTGGGAAATGTGGCGATACATATAGTGGTCTAGGGCATATGTAGGTAAAGCAAAGTCTGTAGACTGTAAATGAATAAAACTGATTCATTTAGTGCCTGAAGGATGAAGTTCTTTATTTAGTTTAGTAGGCACTAGGCAGTTCAATGCCGTAGTCATTGCGGTGCCCGTGTTATGAGCATTTTTAGCTGTTTGTGTTCTTTCTTTCGACCATTTTCCTGACCTTTTTACGAGCAAACGCGAATCGCGAAATGCTTTTGCATTTTATATGCTCTTTCTTCAATGTTCTTTGTTTTAATTTAGTTTAACTAATGAAATATCTAGATTCTAGCATAACAGATAATTGAGGGAACTGTCGTTGATCATAGAGGATAACTACGAAGCTATAGGTATAAACGGATGAAAAAATAAGCGATGAAGGTTCCGGCCCAGCCTCGTCCCATTTCGGCTCGACTTGACCCGTCCCCAGGGGCGGAGCTTCCTATACAGTTGGTGGGGCGGCTGCCCCCAAAGTCTTAGAAATCAGCTTCAGTTGGTGGGACAAAACGCTTATTGATGGGGCAAAATGTTAAGTTGGTGGGGCCCCCACCAACTTAACATTTTGCCCCATCAATAAGCGTTTTGTCCCACCAACTGAAGCTGATTTCTAAGACTTTGTTGCTTTGCAAATTATTTTTTTCGCATTGAAGAGCTTTGGAATGTCTGTTTAATGCAAAATATTATATCTGTTATCATAGGAATTGATTCAGTGTGACATTTTATTCAACTTCATAATCGGACATTGAGGGTTTGATGATTTTTTGCCCCACCAATTTCCCTGGAAAAGCTCCACCCATGCCCGTCCCAACTCAGTCCAAACCAGCTCGACCCGAGTCCGTGCCCGCTGAAACGCGTCGTACAGAGCACATCCAATATGTATTCTTTGAAAGCAGGTCAGTCAGTGACACGCACACACACACATACACTGAGATCATAACGACTCGAAACAACAGGCGGCGCCGGGCGCAGGCCGGCGGCCCACCGACCCCGCGAGGCCCCACTGAGCCTCGACCCAGCCGGGGCCGGGAGTCGCGGCCCCAGCGCGCTCACTGCAGCCCGGTGCATGTTAGCCACAGCTCGCACCATCGACAACAGCCAATCTAAAACATATTTAAATTAAACAACAGAATGCGATAAATATCCTCTGTGTCGGCGCGGCGGGCGGCATTACCGGGTCAAACCGGGTGGTCCGGCCATTGTGTAACAGTCGGCACACGGTCCGGCCCCGACTAACACGCTGCCGGTCGCGGGGTCTGCCGACACACCACCGGCCGACCTCAGCCGCTGCCCGGAGCGGCCCTCACCTGCCCAGCGAGCACTGCAGCCGGTACAGCTCCTGCGCCGCCAGCCGGAACGGCAGCGCGGCCAGCGGCGGCGCCGGTGGCGGCGGCGGAGGCGAGTGCTGCGAGTCGCGCGCCATGATGGCCTCGATGCTGAACGGAGCTGCTGGCGGCCGGGCGGGCCGCGGCGCTGCCACCGGCACCGGCTTGATGACAGGCGGCGGCAGCAGCGGCGCCGGCGGCAGCGCGCCGAACGTCATCGGCCCCAGGTACGGGTGCAGGTGCGGGTGCGGGTGCGCGTGTGGGTGGGCGTGCGGGTGCGGGTGCGGCGGCACGGTCGGCTGGCGCATCATGAGCGCGGCCCGGTACGGCTCGAGGCGGCCGGCGGCGGCGGCCGCCGCGGCGCCGTACAGCTCGTGGAACGGGTCCGGCTGGTGGCGCTTGTAGCGCTTACGGCGCCGCAGGAAGCTGCCGTTGTCGAACATGTCCAGCGAGGCCGGGTCCAGCGTCCAGTAGTTGCCCTTACCCGGGTTACCTGGCTCTCGCGGAATCTTGACGAAGCAGTCGTTGAGGCTGAGGTTGTGCCGGATACTGTTCTGCCAGACAGGGAACTTGGCTTTGTAGTAGCTGAAGCGGTTCATGATGAAGTCGCAGATGCCGCTGAGAGTCAGTTTCTTCTGCGGCGACTGCAGGATGGACATGGTGATGAGCGCGATGTACGAGTAGGGCGGCTTGACCAGCGCGCCGGCCTTCTTCTCGCTGTCCGGCTCCGTCTGGCCGGCGGCCGGCTCGGTCCGCGCTCCCTCCCCGTCACCGTCACCGTCTTCGGTCTCGGCCGGTGGCGGCGGCGGCGCGGCCGGCTGCGGCGGCTCGCCGGCCGGCCCCTCCGAGTCGTCACTGTCCACCGTCACGTGCTCGTCCGAGGCGTCTGAGGGCGGCTCGCTGGGAGAGCGCACCGGCTCTCCGGTCGCGGGCAGCCGGAAGTCGAGCGGCGTCTCGGCGAACTGGGAGATGGCGCGCAGTCCGAGGATGTCGCGCACACTGTACCCGAGCGGCCCGGCGGCGGCGGCGGCGGCAGCACCGGCAGCGCCCGTCTCTCCGTGCACCTCCATGGCTGACGACTGAGCCCACAGTCCGCTCTGCGCCCGGTCCCACCGCCGCTCCGTAAACTGTTGTAACACAACGCCTGCCAAATGTTTATCGCCCTCCCCAAACAAATTGTTGCCGAGCGCAGCCAATGGAAACATGTCTATCCGTCAGACGTCACAAGACTCCGCCTCCGAGGGCGGAGCTTGTCGCTGATTGGTCGGCGCCGGCCGCCGGATTAGCCGGCCGGCGCAGATGTGAGACAACTTTGGCATGGAGAAAATAATTATTATCCCGTGAGTGCAAACAACCCATTTCGACGTGTTGAGATATAAGAGAGGCCCGGCTCTGCAATGTCGACAGCGAGGCAGGCTGGGCGGGCGTTTGGTGAGAAAATATTGGCGGAATCGCCGCCAAGTCGGCGCCAGCACGTTTTTCGCCGACGACGGTACGAGAGGAGAAGGCAGCGCAGCAGCACGGCGGCGGCGGCGGCCGGCCGGCCGAGTTAAAAATAATCGCCATCCGATGGGCGGCCGGGATTATGTCAAGGGTCTAACGAGCAAATGAGAGCGGCGCGGGAGAGGCGGCGCCGCGCCGCGCCACTATTTACCACCGGGATTAGCGGCCGAATCAAACGGCGCCGCCGCCGACACGCCGCTCACTCAATACGCCACTCTTCTCGGCAGCGGCCTTCGCGCGTAAATCAAATAGCTGACACTAAACAACACATTCCGGCCGCGGCCCGGCTGACAGTCGACAGTTTTGGCGCGCCGTCGCGCATATTGCCGGCCGACTTCATTCCGGCGCGGCCGAGGCGCTGACGCAGCCGTCGGAACGCGCCGCTCTGATCTAATATTTGTTATAAGATCAGAAATATTTGTCGGCTCGCCGCGTCAAGCGCAGATATTGCGTGCTCATTTGTAATAGCCGGCGGGGCTGGCGATGAACGGCGCGAGACAAAAGGATATGAGGCCGGCTCGGGCGGCTGGCGAGCGGGGGTGCGTGCGCCGCGCCGCGGGGGAGCCGGCTATATCGGATGACGGCAGAGCGGGCCGACAGCATGTCTAATCTGGCCGGCGCGATACGATCGCGGGTCGCGGCGACACGCCGCTCTTAACACGGCACGTTAGGCTATCGGTAAATAAACGGTCCGGAGCGGCGGGCGGCCGCGCCGGCCGATACCGGCTAATGAGGGCTGACAGACGGTACCGTGTGCGGCTGACTGACAGACGGTGGAGAGGCTGACAGAAGGGACGGGGGACTGACAGACGGTAGAGAGGTTTGACAGACGGCAGAGACTGACAAAACGGCCCGGCAGCGCTGACAGACGGCACCATTTGAGCCTAGCTGACATACGGCACGGGAGGGCTGACAATCGGTAGGTATAATAGACTGTCTCACACTAGAGAGTCTCACAGACGGCAGAGAGTCTGACAGACAGCAGAGAGGCTCACTGACAGACGGAAGAAAGGCTGACAGGCGGTAGAGGAGCTCACTGACAGACGGTTTAGAGACTGACTGTCGGTCCAGGGGGACTGACAGACAGGACAGGATTGGTGCCCATCTGAGTACAGACGGCTCCATAGAAAATGACAGACGTCAGACGGCTCGGGAAGGCCGACGACCACAGGGTCCAGGGACTGGCAGATTTTGTACCTAAGTGACTGGTGACATTCAGAACAACAGACTATAAATGATAACAGAAGGTCTCCAAGAAGCAATACGAGTCATAGCTGCTAGACGGACGGGGGATGACGGAAAGACGGGGGCGGTGAACGGTAGCTGACAGACGGAGGAATGGCACACGTCTAGGGCTGACACGCGGGGCTGACAGTCACACTCACAGCCCAGCACCCGTCAGTCAGATATGACGGAGGGTCGGGCTGACTACAGCAGACAGATATGACAGAGGGTTAGGATGACACTCTCGCGCTGACAGTCGCAGTCCAACATCCGGCAGTCAGATATGACAGACGGTTGGACTAACAACAGCCGTCAGATATGACGGAGGGTCGGGCTGACGACAGTAGTCAGGTATAGAGATTAGGATGACAGTCGCCGTCCAACACCGGCCGTCAGCTATGACAGAGGGCCCGGCTGACGCCGCCGCCCGCCGCCCGCCCGGCCGGCGCGCGGCGGCCGCCCGCCAGGTTTACTCGGCCCGCCGGCACAGCTGGGAGCTGTCTGTGGCGGTTTTGTCACGACGGCACAATATTTACCACATCAACAGACGCTACAAGAGGAACGGCCTGCCGAAACATGGCCGGCGGCTGGCGGCGGCGGCCGGGGTGCGTCAGTGGCGCCCGGCCGGCCGTATACAGTCCGGGGCCACACTCCGGGCCCGCCCCCCACCGGCGCGGCGCGGCCCGTCCCCCTCGTCCCGGGGATCTGCTGCGAAACTGTGTGCCTCAAGACGATTACTGGGCAAGACGACGAAAGGAATTTTTTTTTTTTTTTTTGCAAATCATACCCAAGGTAGTGGTTGAAAAAATAACGAAGGTCCCACTTCCGCATTTAATAAAAATGTCGCCAATTATTTCGTAGCTCAATGCTCCGTTGTAATCATGTGCTCAGAGAACTGCTAACGACGCCGACTTTTTCGCATCTCATTTGCTTAATTCATTGGTTATACCTACCTCATTAGCTCTAGACCATAATTGTCTGACGCCTCGTCCGCATAGTTCATTCCTGTAGACTAAAGCAACACCAACCTAACCGTAACCATCCGGGCTCACTGGAATCACAATCAGAATCAGAATAACATCGGACATCACATGTATTAAATCAATTTCAATCGCGATTATTCACTGCACAGCAGATGAGAAATGCATCACCGGTGAGCCGGTGGGTCACCGGTGAGCAGACCCACAGAGGTCATACGGCGTCCGTCTGGTGCTCGGAGACCACAGGTACTGTCGATCGGAAGGCCTCGTCCAGCCGCGACTCGTCTAAGTGACGGCCTGTAACGTCGACACAACGCGGTCAGGTCAGACAGCCGCCGGGAGACGGCAAAGGTACGGCCGGTCAGACGGCATGGTGGGATGATCGGATGCACGCTACACGCCGACACAGGCTGTAATGATTCGTGGTAGCAAATACTGAGTGAGACCTTGTACAATATACAGGCTGAGCACAGTAGTACCCGCTCGTCATAATAGCACAAAGAGTGACGAGTAACAGTGTCCCGTGGTGAAATAGAAACGCACTACATTATCACGAAACAGCTCATTAAAAAGTAAAAACTCGCAACAAAAGGTGGCGAAGTTCTAGAAAGCACGCCACTCCAGCTCCTTACTAGAAAACTCTCGCAGACCTTTGCGCGACACCAGACACATGGCTGGTGAGTGGACTGACCTATGAAGATGAGTCGCGTCACGCGCGGCTCGTCGGGCTCCCAGCGGCTGGCTAACTCGGTGTCGCAGATCTCCCCGACCGCCTGCAGGATGAGCCGCCGCTCCTCGCCGAGCACACTGGCCATTCCCTGGGACATAGAGCGGTACACACAGGGTTAACACGAGTGTGAGCCTGAGGACCGTGCCACCAGCCGCCGCTCCTCGCCGACCACACTGGCCATTCCCTGGGGCATACAGCGGTACACAGTGCTAACAAAAAGGAGGGTACACAATGTTAGCAGCAGTAGCTGAACAGTCGGGCGGAGGGACCGCGCCGACAGCGGACCGCGACCCGGCCCAGTAGTGTAGTACGGCTATCTAAGCAAACCACCGCGCTGCTTGGCCGATGTGTACCACCGCTCATTTATTTCAGTATTTCGTTTCACATAAAAATATTGGGGCCGGATAACATAATGTTTCCAATTGATAAGAAGGCTCGTGATGCTGTTACTACTTTGGGAGTGGATACACACTGCGACGCTGTAACAAGACTGCCAATAAGCCTTAGTGAGGGGGCGTCGAATAGGTGGCGAAGGAAATAATAATCCGTTGTCCATCCAGCGTTCATAATCTATTGTCCATCTACAAATGTCGCCACAGCGTCGCGTTCTGCGGACAGGCAGCTTCCATCAGGCTTCGGCACCGCTGCCTTCTTTAGAATGCATTGCTCTGTAAGATTCCATTAAAAAACCTTATGCCGCGGGCTTACAGAAAAACATTCAATATTGCCCCGCTAGAATCATTCGCAGCAGCAACATCTGACAAAAAGTGCTGTCTCCCATAACTCAGACGTCGGTCTGGCGTTCGTCAGCACAGACGGCTTATAGCTTATTGGTATAAAGCGCATTAGATACTGCTCGGCAACCACGTAAAACAAAACAATGCACATTGCACACCGTCAGGGTAAAATTGAGCTGTGATGTTCACTTCTTTCTTACCAGATCTAAAAGTCGGTGCCAACACAGAAACACATATAGGTCTCTTCAAATAGCAGTAAAGATTGAAGGAGAACAATGATCCTTAACCTAATCCATTTATTAGAGCCTATCAGCAGAGATCAGCCATTTTCTAGGAACACCATCATGATAGTGGTACGGTTATTGACATGTAAAGGATACAACACCAATCAAGAGCCTATTTGTAAAAGCCGGACCCATAAAGTGTACTTTTCGACAATCACAGTTCAACAGTGAAATGCAATGTTTTGATACAGATAACTACGCCTCACCCACTGACATAGAGTGGACCATGAACCCTGACCGTAAAATGTATAACCATAAAGACGTAAAAAAGATTTGTGACAGTGACCTACCCGTAAGACAAAATCAGTTCTGTAAGTACGAGGAAAATGGAAAATATTAAAAGGTAAGAGTCACGGTTTAGTGACGCACTGTAAATCATCGACGAAAAATCGGAAAAATCAACGTAGATATTCAAAGAGAGAACGAACCAATATTCAGTGCGGCATCCTTCACCCCCTTTCAGTGGAAACTCAAGACTCTCTTCGCTAGCGCCTACTACGCTCCCTAAAACTTGTAAAAACCATGTCTCCATATAACAGCCTGCTATCACAAAACGCCATAAAATCTATGATGGTCGTGGGATAAAAGGAGCGGAATTTTCCGATCTGGCCGCGCTAAATGTGATAATATTTTCCTGTCTGGCTGTGTGGAGCCGACTGATCGGTCCGATCGGGGGCGCCTCGGAGCGGCGCCGCACCGGTCCGACGCCGCGGATCAGCCGATAATCAGGAGCGCCGCACTCTACACGGCCGGCGCAGCCACTCCATACGGAAGTGTACGCCGCCGCCACCGGCAAAAAACCTCCTTTTCAGGGGCGCACGGCCGCCTTTCACCGGGTGGAAAACTATTATGACAAGAGGCCGTGCCGGCGGCGGCGCGGCGCGGCCCGACGATCTCGCCGGCAGCCGCGCCGCCACTCATCCACTACAGGCCACCGGCCCGACGATTGATATAATACTACCTTTTATATTCATGAGGTAAACAGGCGGCATTGTGCCGCCGGCCGGCCCGCGGTCTTTCATTAAGTGTGTGTGAATGGAGTTTATCGGTGCAGATAGAACTGGCCCACGGTGGGGCGTGGACAAAGGCGGCGGCGAGCGCGGCTCCCGGCCGGCCCGGAGCCGGTCCGCGGGCCGGCCGCTCGGTATTGAGCGGCGGCGCAGGCCGGCCGGCCGGCTCACCTTCATCCGCAGCATCTGGACGGGCCGGCCGCGCCGGTCGGCCACCGTCTTCTCCCAGAGCAGGCCGTGCACGAACGACTCCAGGTCCCGGCGGCGCACGCTGCCCGGCCGCTCCAGCGTCACCGTGCCCAGACTCTGACAAACACACATAACGGGGACGCCGGGTCAGGGCGACGCCAGGGTGGGGAGGGCAAGATTAGCTGCGAATGTGCTCCAATACCTACTCGATAAATGATAGTGGCGAGATATCGCGGGCGAATAAAAAAAGGTCGATAGTTGAGATTTTGTT